CAAGTGACACGATTTACTATCTAGATTTCCACGCTGACAGACACATCAACACATCGATTCTGTAACAGCAGATATCAATTCTGAAACCAGCATTTTCAAGCAGAGGTGCCTAAAGTTATGTTTCTTAATGCCATATTTCATGTCTCTTTTTGTACCTATGTTTGAAAATTCTGGTCGATATTGTGGGGAGAAAAGAGTTTTGAAAAAAATGCTGTCAGAATAGCTGGAAATAGCCCTGAAGCACGATGGTTGGGTTGTGTAGCAGGATTTAGAGTCTGTATTCTGATTCTGGCTCATCTCTAAACACAAATTTATTTCCAAGACTTATCCGTTTTCCCTCCCCACTTTGGGTTGATGACTTTATAATCACTGAGCAATGCGCACTGTGCTGTACAAGGGAAGAAACTTTCCTTGCTCCAGAAATAGGTACAACCATTGAGAGGCAAACAGCACAGAATGTTAGGGTTTGAACAGAGTGCTGAAGCCATTGCTGACAGGTTTTGTGGAATGAGAGTGTTTTACAAGGCAGGATGTGAAGACTGCTTAATCCAGGAGAGGAGACCTTGTCAGGATCACAACCTGGAACACCTTTTGCGATTCAACAAACTGAAACATCAATGCAGCCCAAACTGATGTGTAATGTTTAAAGAGCATGATGCCCCCTCTCTCATCATGGAGGATGTTATGTTAAAATAAATGCAAAATGCTGTCAGAATGTGCAGAGTCTCCCTCCAACATTCCTCACAGGTTTGTGTTTGGGAATGCCCACAACGCGACACAGTGACCTTTTCACAAACCTAACCCTTTGCCATCTGACGCATCATGTGATAATTGGGACTAAAAATGTACCTTAATTGGCAGTTCAACTGTAAAAAGTACATGAAAGTTCATAAGGTGTCACAGTAACCTATAACAACATGTATTAATGGGAAAAGATACAAAAAGGATGCAGACTGATTTAGTCCCAGCAAAAAGGCATACCAATATAATTCAGAGACTGTGTTAAGATCATGCCTGGCAAACAAGAAAAGCATGGAATCAAAAATCAGTGAATCAAAACTTGTTTGTTGGAAACTAAGTCTAACTGGTGGAGAAAATAACGAGGGGATAGGCTATTCCATCCACCACTCCCTTGATGGTCCTTAAAGAAAGCCTGTGGGGAGAAAAATGGGCTACTGGAACAAGCCTCACAATCGCCCTCCATCACCGCCTCCTAGAACCCCTAGCCTTCATCATCCTGATTCTGAGACATCTGACTGACTGGGTTTGAGAGGACTCAGATGATATTGCCACCTTTGTCAGCTCCAGCTGAGTCCCAACCACTATCTGAGATGAAGCAGGATCAGACTTAAGACTATAAGAAAGGCCATATCAGATCAGACCAAAGATCCATCTAGCCCAGTACTGGCCAGTGCCAGGCGCTTCAGAAGGAATGAACAAAACAACTAATTATCCATCCCCTGTTGCCCAGTCTCAGCTTCTGGCAAAACTTAGGCTGGAGATACCATTCTTGGCCACCCTGGCTAATAGCAGATGATGGACCTATCCTCCATGAACTTATCTAGTTCTTTTGAACCCTATTATAGACTTGGCCTTCACAATATTTTCTAGGAAAGAGTTCCGCAACTCAAGTATTTCTTCAGACAACTCACAGGTTTTTTGTTCGTTTTAGATCTGCTGCTTATTAATTTAATTTGGTGACCCCTAGTTCCTGTTCATGCCTCAGAGGACAACATCACTTCCTTATTTACTTTTTCCACACAAGTCACGATTTTATAGGCTTCTGCCATATCCCTCTTTAGTCATCTCCTTTCCAAGATGAGAAGTCCTGGGCTTTTTAATCTCTACTCATATGGAAGCTTTTCCATGCACCTAATCATTTGTGTTGCCCTTTTCTGAACCTTTTCCAATTTCATTATATCTTTTTTGAGATGGAGCAATCACATCTGCACACAGCATTCAATCAAGATGTGGGCATAACATGGATTGATACAGAGGCAATATAATAATCCATCTTCTTATTCATCATTTCTGAATGATTACCAATATTCAGAATTTGCTTTTTTGACTGCCACTGCACAATGAGTGGATGTTTTCAGCAAACTACCCACAATGACTCCTAGATCTCTCTCTTGAGTGGTAACAGCTAATTTAGATCCCATTATTTTAGATGTATAGTTAGATTTGTGTTTTCCAATGTGTATTACCAGGCATTTATCAACATTCTAGGATGTACTTCATCAGGCCCTGCCAGCTTGAAGACAAGGGTGCTGTTTGTGGAGAACAGGGACGGGGTAGGAGGAGGCATCAGCGGTACATACCAGCTTGAGATTTGCTTTTCTTCCTGTTCCTGTGACAATAAGGGAGTGAGGGGAAAGTACTTGGATTCTGTGCATGCATCTCACTCCTGGCTGGTGAAGGGAGGGGGCAGAGAGTAATTCAGGGAATCCAAGTACTTTCCCCTCTCTTCCTTATCAGGGAACAGGAAGAAAAGCTAGCCATGTCCTGATATGCATTGCTCTCGCGAAATGGAGACGCCTGAAGACATCTATAATTAATTCTTAACTTGTTCATTTCCTATTTTAGCCTTAGATTCTATCCCATTTATTGATGCTTCCTATGTCTGTCTTTCAATCATTAACTTTTTTTTAAGTGAAAACTGAAAATAAAAAAGGCATTTAACACTTTGGTCGTTGCTGTGTTTTCTTTTTTATGTCTCTCTTTCCTCACTGAATAATGACCCTACCCTGTCCATCTTCCTCTTGCTTCTCATGCATTTGTGAAATGCTTCTTACTTTTCATATTCCTAGCTAATTTAATCTCATTTTGTGCCTGGCCTTTCTAATTTTGTCCTTTCATGTTTGAGATTTTTTATATTTTCGGGGTGAGGCGGGGGGCAATTTCAATTTTTTGTACTCTTTTTTTTTTTTTAGGTCACTGAAGGTCTCCTGGGTAAGCCAGGATTGCCTCTTACAATGCTTCTGCATTTGTATAGTTTGCTTTTGTGCCCGTAATGATGCCTCTTTAAAAATACTACTCCCTCACACTTGCTTCCCACTGCATCCTACTTATCAATTCCATGAGTTCACCCTCTTGAAGTTCATTGTATTTATTCTTATGTTTTCCCCCTTAGAATCAAAACCACTGTCATGATCACTTTTATGCAAGCTGCCTTCCAACTTCAGATTCTCAACCAGTTCCTCCCCATTTGTCAAGGTAAATGACATAAAAGTTTATTCTTTTTAACAGTTCACTTCATTTTAATCACACAAGCTGTTATTAGCAACACAAGGAAAGACACGTTCTTTTTGCCTTGACAATGTTTTCTTGTGGGAAGAAAAAATATGAGCATTAAATGTTTTCACTAGAGTGAGTGTATACTACTGTATTTCATCTTTGTGCAGAAAACTGAGACAACTTGAAAAAACTCTAAAAAACAAATAGTCTAACAGCATCTTAAAGACTAACAAAACATGTAGATGGTATCATGAGCTTTCATGGGTACAACCCACTTCTTCAGATGAACTTGGTCTCTTTTAAGGCTTTGCAACTCCTAGTATGATACTATTGTGTGGTGGTATGGGAGGCTGAACAGGGTATCTGCTTACAGGATCAACACTGTGCTTGTCTGCATAATCTCTTCAAAGCACCAGTCTACACCAAACACTAAGTGAGATTAAATGGATAGCCCTAAAATTTCGTACTGCTAGATTCATAGAGGCCAGTTACAGTGGTCAGGTTGAAAAAGCTGATAGGAATAATACATAAGAGGTGACTTATTACAGTTTTTAATAAGCAAAACCTCTTCCCCTTACCCTGTCTGATGCCTCACATTCTGAAAGGTTCCTCCATGGAAGAGTGGAATTCTCCTTCAGCAGCCAAGTGCCCTCAGGAGTGCAGAAGCGGTAAACTTGTCCATGCAGCACTGCCAAAGAAAAGGAGAGAAAGAACAGACTTTCTGGAGAGAAGAACAGAACAACTGCAAAGCCTAGACTAAGCTCTCCCCATCACCTCTAGGGCTATTTTCACCTTGCTCCTTTCCTGTAGCAGAACACGTCATTCATTCTCACAACCACCGGTATATGGCTTCCAGAAACAACAGCACAAAGAGTGCTCCAAATGGTCAGCAGCAGTAACCCACTGAGTTTGTAGCTGAAAACAAACCTCGGCTCACTAAGAAAGTTGTGTTTATTTTATAAGAAGAAAAAATGGATTCAACGTGAATGCCCAGTTTCAAACACCCCAGAACTTTAGGAAAGTTTGATCCTGAAATTTGTGACCAAAGTCCATCTGTTGTAATTATTCTTATGTGCAGGTTGCTGGCAAAGTCTCCCTGAAAGCAGAGCCATTATGAAAGGCAAGGTTGCCTTAACAGGAATGTAAGCAAAATACCTAGGTCTGCTCAGAAGATGGAAAACAAAGAATACATGTACCCTCCTCTCTTTGCTTCAACTAGTCCCAACATTAGTAAGTATGGTAATAGGAAACACTCAAAAGGTATACCCTCAGAAGTGGACACAAGAATGTGGATGCCTGTCTACCCTCTAATCCAAAAACTGAGCTGTAACTCTCTTGGGGTATGTCTACACTACCCCCCAAGTTCGAACTAGGGCCCTAGTTGGAACGGGGGGGGGGGGTAATGTAGTCATACGGAGTTGCAAATGAAGCCCGGGATTTGAATTTCCCAGTCTTCATTTGCATAAAGCTGGCCGGCGCCATTTTTAAATGCCAGCTAGGTCGGACCCCGTGCTGCGCGGCTACACGTGGCATGGACTAGCTAGTTCGGAATAGGCTTCCTATCCAAACTAGCTGTACGCCTCATGGAACGAGGTGTACAGCTATTTCGGATTAGGAAGCCTAATCCGAACTAGCTAGTCCATGCCGCGTGTAGCCGTGCGGCACAGAGTCCGAACTAGCCGGCATTTAAAAATGGCGCCGGCCGGCTTTATGCAAATGAAGCCCGGGAAATTCAAATCCCGGGCTTCATTTGCAACTCACTTTAGTTCGAACTAGGGGGGTAATGTAGACATACCCTTGGAGCTGCTCACACATTCTTTCCATGACTAAAGCCAACAACAAAATCAACAGCCACAGCCCAGTGACTCCGGGTATGTCTACACTACAATGTTAGTTCGAAATAACGGACGTTAGTTCGAACTAACATTCATAGGCACTACACTAGCGCTCCGCTAGTTCGAATTTAAATCGAACTAGCGGAGCGCTTAGTTCGAACTAGGAAAACCTCATTTTACGAGG